AGTTCAAAGCCAGCCCCAGGAAGGGGACACTTATCTGCAACCAAACACTAGAAAACCAGAAGTGGCACTGTGGCTCAAGTGGTAGAGCGCTAACTTTGAGCAGAAGCTCAGGGACAGCTCCCAGGCCCTGAGTTCAAGCCCCATATCTAATATGGAGGGGCTCAGCTCTAGAGCACATATCTACTAAACACAATGCCCTGAGTTCAAACCCCAGTGCCAAAGACGTTTTAAAACAATTTTAAAGCTGAGCAAGGTGGTACTTTCTTACTCGGGAAGCATTGGGAAAGAATAATTATTTCACTTCCAGTATGCTTTAGACCTTGCAAGTGAAGTGAGTTTCTTGTAGGCAACAAATGTTGGGGTTTTGTTACTTAATCCAACCTTCCAATCTGCCTTCTGGTTGAAAATTTTAGGCCACTAACATTCACTTAATAAAAAGTATGTAATAATTCCTGCCATTTTTTTGTTTTGTGTGAGGCTTCTTTCCTACTCCTTGTCTAATAAAATCTCCTTTCCCATTTTTCTATAGCTGCATTTATCCTGGGCACAGGATTCTACTAAGTGACTTCTGCAGAGCTGGCTCATGGGTGTACACTATTTCACTTTTATTGTGGTAGTTCTTAAAATTTCTTCCTCAATTATAAAAGATAGCTTTGCTTAATAGAATAATCTAAATTGGCAATTTTTTTCCTTTCAGGTTTAACATACATTATCCCCTGCCCTCTTTGTGTTTAGAATTTCTGTGGAGAAATCTATTACTCTGGCAGATTGGAGCTTTTCTCTTACAGCTTTCAATAGCCTGCTCTTACTCTGTAATGTTTTAACTATGTCACAAGATTCTGTGTACTTAATATATAACTACAATATGACATAGGGAGGTAATTCTGTGGACTTCTCTGAATAGAGTATTTAAAGCCTTCTGAGTTAATATGGCCATCTCTTAAGACTTAAAGAATTTTCTAGTATTTTACCAAATATTTTCTATACTTTTATAGCTAGCACATCTTCTATGTCCGTGGTCCATAGTTTTGGTCTGCTAAATGTTATCCAAAGACATCTTCAATGTTTCATGTCAATCTGAGTGTTCTACCTTGTCTTCCCTCTAAAAAAACCTATCTTCAACTATTCCTTTATATTGGTGAGGCTTTCAGCTGAGCTTTTCATTTTCAGAACTTCTAGATGTCTATTTTTTTAATTCTTTTTTCATATTTTGCAGTTTTATTTCACTCATTTATTCATTTTGTCTTTTCCTAGATTTCATTCAGGAATTTATTCCTGGCCTCTTTGCTGACCATTCTTATAACCCATTTGAATTTTGGGGGAATTCAAACTTTTTGATGATTCTATCATGTTATTTTGGAATGGTTCTTTTGGAAGTATTGTGTTGCCTTGGGTGTTTTTTCATATTTCTTGTGTTGTGTTGGAATTTGCACAGCTGAGGCCACGTTCTTGGTTGGAAGCTTTAATTACCTGTACTCTTTCACGTGAAGTATTACCAATGTTTAGACATGTTTCTCAGTGGCTTAAACTTTTCAGCTGCCCATGGGTGTCTACAGACTTTTTGACTTGTAATTACTCATTATAGAGCAACTCATCAAAAAAAAAAAAATGCTCACTATAGCTCTCTTGAGTAGCTACCATCTTTCTCCATAGTTAGCCTGCCATGCAGGAATAGTCACTGTCACACAAAACCTCCACACTGGGACTAAGGCTTATGGGAAACTCTAGTCACCAGACCCATTTGGTTTACCTTATGTTTATAACTTGTTTCTTCTACCCACTGGGAAGCCAGGGTTAGAGATGTGGGCTTTTCCTACTCTTTACTCTTGCCTTTCTTTTTCTGGGTATTTATCAGCCATTTCATGATTCCTCTCTTCAGATATCCTTTTTCATTCATAAAGTCATAGTGTCTAACCCACTTGACTCCTTTCTTCAGAAGTTTCTAATTCCTTGTGTGATGTTAAAACAATACATATACATCATGATAGAGGAAATCACAAGATAAATAGCTCATTAGTATGATACAGAGGTGAATTTCTGAACTCACCGAGAGCTGGGGTATGGGAGATGTGGCTCACAGTCAGAGCATCTGCAAGGCCCCTAGTTTAGAACCCCAGCACTTCAAAACATAAATAAATTTCTTGGGCTGGGAAGGTGGCTCTGTGGTAGAGTGCTTGCCTTCCATGCATGAGGCCCTGGATTCAAATCCTCAGTACCACATAAGCAGAAAAAGCTGGAAGTGGCTCTGTGGCTCGTGGTAGAGCGCTAGCCTTCAGCAAAAGAAATTCAGGGACAGTGCCCTGAGTTCAAGCCCCAGGACTGGCAAAAATTAATTTCTAAATCCAGGAAAATGGAAAGGCCAATATACTATGTCCCAGTGTGGTTTACTTCAAGAAAGAAGTTATCATCTGAAAATTAAATAATGTGAAGTTTACCAACACATGAAACCAGGACGTTTTTAAAGACTTTGATACATACAAAAAAAGCATTGGAGAAAACTCAATATCCCATATTAAAAAGCAAAAATAAAGCCGGGTGCAGGTGGTTCATGCCTGTAATCCTAGCTATTCAGAAGGCTGATATCTGAGGATTGAGGTTCAAAGCCAGCCCGGGTAGGAATGTCCAGACTCTTATCTTCAATAAACCACCAGAATACCGGAAGTGGCGCTTGCCTTAAGCTGAAGAGCTGAGGGACAGTGCCGAGGCCCAGAGTTCAAGCCCACAACAGACAAAACAAAAAACAAAAATCCAGGAGTAAAACAGAATTCCCTTCATAAAGGTCATCTATCAAAAACAGGTGGGGAATTATAATGGTGATACTGAACATATTTCCTAAGGAACAAAGTAAAGATGTACCTTAGTGACTTCTACGTTTAAAAAAAAAAAAACGGGGCTGGGAAGGTGGCTCAGTGGTAGAGCACTTGCCTTGCATGCTCGAGGCCCTGGGTTCGATTCTTCAGCACCACATAAGCAAAAAGAAAAAAGCCGGAAGTGGCGCTGTGGCTCAAGTGATAGAGCACTAGCCTTGAGCTGAAGAGCTGAGGGACAGCGCCCAGGGACAGCGCCCAGGCCCAGAGTTCAGGCCCCACAACCGGACCCAAAAAAAAAAAAAAAACAGGTGAGAAAAGTAAAGGATAAAATTTGGAAATTAGGTAAGATATTCCTCTCTTGGTATGTCATGAATATAAATAAAGAAAACACCAAATCATAAACTAAATGAATTAATGTCACTACCTATAAAGTTAATGTACAAAGACAATATTGTAATGAATAGAAAAAAATTACAAAGCAAAATATTCTGTGGTCAGAAATAAGCAATATTTAAGACCTCAAAAATTAAGATGACCTAGGAAGATGGACACTGTATCATGTTGTTGAAAGACACAATATTATAAACAGCCAGGTGCTAGTGGCTCATGTCTGTGATGCTTGCTACTCTCAGGAAGCTGAGATCTCAGGATTGAGGTGCAAAACCAGCCTGGGCAGGGCAATACATGAGACTTTTAATCTCCAATTAACCACTAAGAAGCTGGAAGTGGAGTTGTGGCCCAAGCGGTAGAGCAGTAGCCTTAATTCCCTAAGCTCAGGGACAGTGCACACACACACACACACACACACACACACACACACACACACACACACAGCTTCAGGAAAATGAGCTCAACACTGGTGCCCACCAGACCCCATGTATCTGTCTGTCTACACACACACACACACACACACACACACACAGCTTCAGGAAAATGAGCTCAACACTGGTGCCCACCAGACCCCATGTATCTGTCTGTCTACCAGGACCATGAGTCTACCTACCACACAGAGAATGGGGTTCTTCCTTCAAGCCTTCCAAACACTGCACAAACGTAGCCAATTTTAACTGAGAACTGGAGAAAGACATTAACCTAGGAAATGTAGTCTTAGGCATTGTTAGCATGGTGTTTAAATTTAAACTCAAAAAAATATTGAGAGCTCTGGCATGAAGAACAAAAGAGTAAAACATGACATCATCAAATGAGACCATCCTCCCACAAGATCTCTATAGGACTTACTACTTCTTGGCAAAACTACTTATTACACATGAAAAGCTTTTGATAGTAAAAACTGCTCTTTTCAAAAACAGTAGGTTCTCTTTAGTAAACAAGAGGGAAGGAAAGGAAAATATTGGGTAGCCTATTTCCAATACCTGTCCAAAAGTCTTTCAAAAATTTAGCAATTAAAACTAAGTGTCCATAACATATTGGGCACATATCTAAGAGAAAAATTAGAATTAGAAGCCAAATTACCTTCAGTACTGAAGACTGAACCAAGGGCCCTTACCACACCAGGCAAGCACTCTCCTACTGAGCTTATATATCCCCAGCCCTAGAAACCAGCTAGGAAAAAAAAAAGCTTGCCAGGCACTGGTGGCTCGCACCTGTAATCCTAGCTACTCAGGAGACTAAGATCTGAGGATCATGGTTCAAAGCCAGCCCAGGCAGGGAAGTCCATGAGACAAGTCCATGAGACTCATCACCAATTAACCACCAGAAACAAAACAGAAGTGGTGCTGTGGCTCAAAGTGGTAGAGTGCTAGCCTTGAGCAAAAGAGCTCAGGGACAGGACCTAGGCCCTGAGTTCAAGCCCCATGACCCACCAAAAAGAAAAAAGGCTCTCCAGTTCAGTTTACATATGAAAATGCATCTCAGCCAAGCATAGTGGCCATGTATATAATCCTACTTACTTCAGAGTCTATAGGCAGGAGGTTCACTTGAGTCCAGCAGTTGGAGGTCAACCTGGGCATATCTTGTCCTCAAAACAGGGGGGGGGGGGGAAGAGTTAATATGTATATGTGTGTGTGTGTCTATATGTGTATATCCATGCTTATGTGTATGAGCACGTACAACACCTGGGTCCAGAAGACTTCTGTAATGAAAAGAATTTATATTTGAGCCAAAATAAATGCACCTATTAAATGCGCCTATAGTTGAAAAGATTTGTCACTCTCATTAGAAAGAAAAACAGTGAGCCAGCAGTTCCTCTTTAATGGTGAGGTACAAATCTAGTATAAACAAATGGTGACAGTCTGGAGCTATTTACCACGTGGTTTACACAGTTTCTCTCACATATCCTCAGGTCTTCAAAAGGAGGCACAGGAATCTCCTACTTTGTCCTATTTATGAGGTGTCTTCACAGTATGAGACTTCTGAAGTTACCCCAAGATTAGAAAAAGCCTTGCTCACATGCCATATTCTTTACATTTATGTGTTTTCTCGAGTATGAATTTTCAAATGTCTTCGAAAATAGGCTGGGCAAATAAAGGCTTTCCCACATTCCTTACATTCATATGGCTTCTCTCCAGTGTGACTTCTCACGTGCCGTCGGAAGGATGAGGGACAGCTGAAGGCCCTCCCACACTCCAGACATTCAAAGGGTTTTTCCCCAGTGTGCATCCTTGCATGGACGGTGAGATAAGAAGAGTGTCGAAATGTCTTCCCACACTCCTTGCATTCATATGGCTTTTCTCCAGTGTGTGTTCTCATGTGGATGCTAAGGGCTGAGAAGTAAATGAAGGCTTTTCCACATTTCTGACATTCATACGGTTTTTCTCCCGTGTGAGTTCGTCTGTGGACTGTTAGATGGGACGAACTAATAAAGGTTTTCCCACACTCTGTACATTCATAAGGCTTCTCTCCGCTGTGAGTTCTTAAGTGTTCAGTGAGGGATGAGGAGCGACTAAAGGCCTTCCCACATTCCTTACATTCATACTGTACCTTCCCCATGTGGTCCCGCACATGCGCCTTATAGGATGAGGGACAACTGAAGGCCTTCCCACAATCCTTACACTCAGATGGCTTCTCTCTACTCTGATTTTTCACATGTGTGTTCAGGGACGTGGGAAGGTAAAAGGCTTTTCCACATTCAAAACATTCATACGGCTTTTCCCCAGTGTGTTTTCTCATATGGATACTTAAGGAGGAGGGACAATTGTAGGCTTTCCCACATTCCTTACATTTATACGGCTTCTCTCCAGTGTGGACTCGCGCATGGACAGTGAGCTTTGAGGACTCGCTGAAGGCCTTCCCACACTCCTTGCATTCATAAGGCTTCTCCCCAGTGTGGATTCTGATGTGAATGATGAGGTGGGAAGAGGAACTGAAGGCTTTCCCACACTCCTTACATTCATAGGGCTTATCCCCACTATGGATTCTTTTGTGTTTGGAGAGCGATGAGGAGCAACTGAAGGCTTTCCCACACTCCTTACATTCATAAGGCTTCTCTCCATTGTGGATCCTTTTATGTTCTGTGAGGTAGGAAAAGCTACTGAAAGCATGCCCACATTCCTCACATTTATAGTTGCCTTTGTCACTGTGAATCTTCAAATGGGCCCTAAAGAGTGAGGAACAGCTGAAGGTTCTGGAACATTCTTGACACTCATAAGGCTTCTCCTCAGTGGGAGTTTTCAGATGCTTCTTAAAACAAGCAAGGAAGTGGAAGCCTTTGCCACACTCCTTGCACTGATAAGGCTTGCTCCCAGCATGGGACCTGAGGTGATTCTTGAGGGACGAATGGAACGTGAAGGCCTTGCCACACTGGTGACACCTGTATGATGACACTTCAGCCATCCTGTCCAGCACACTGACATTTGCACTTGGTGTGTGCTGATTTTCTTCATTACATTCATAGGCACTCTCCAACACATGACTTCTAAAAATTAAAGACAGATTATTATTAATAATAATGCATTTTTAGTGCATGTGTTTTCAACCCTGTCACTTTAGAAGGTGCCAGATATCACAAAAGGCTCCATCCCAGCCAATTACTATCACCATGTTTCTGAATCAGGAGGTATTTCTTGGTAATTGTTTCCAACAGAAGTATGTGTCAAACATTCAATATCTGTCTTCTTTGCAGAAAAATAAAGATCTACACAAAATACTAAATTAATACATTTTTGTCTGAAACTTTTATACACAGCTATTTCTAATACTGAAGATTTTTTTGTGTGTATATGTGCCAGTCTTGGGGCTTGAACTCAGAGCCTGAGTGCTGTACCTTTATTGTTCAAGGGTTGGCGTTCTACCACTTGAGGCACAGCTCCACTTCCAGCTTTTTTTTTTTTTTTTTTTGGGTCCGGTCATGGGGCCTGAACTCTGGCCTGGGCACTGTCCCTCAGCTCTTCAGCTCAAGGCTAGCGCTCTACCACTTGAGCCACAGCGCCATTTCCGGCTTTTTTCTTTTTGCATATGTGGTGCTGAGGAATCGAACCCAGGGCCTTGAGCATGCAAGGCAAGCGCTCTACCACTGAGCCACCTTCCCAGCCCCCACTTCCAGCTTTTTGGTGAGGCTCTGTGAGATCTACCAACTACGATCCTCAGATCTCAAACTCCTAAGTGGCTAGGAGTACAGCCACTAGTACCCAACTTAATCTGAAGCTATTGGATCCTTTTTTCCTGAGGCACTACTTTCTTTTATATAAAGGCACTAACCTCAGAGGTGTCTCCTGGCTTTTGTTCTGACAATCACTATCTTGGGATCCCCACTTTTCCTGTGAAGCAGAGGACCAGGAATCATTCCTTTTCAGTCCTACTATTTCCTGTTCTTTGGATAGCGTCTCTACCTCAGTAGCTTGAAGAACTAATTCATCAGTTTTAAGTTGAGTCTCAAAACCTGAAAAAAGGGAAGATGCCAATGAGCAAAGGACCAGGCTGTTAGGAACAGGCACAACAGTGAGAAGGAATTTCTTTAGGAGAGACCTGACACACCAACAAAAGCAGACGTCTCATAGAGCAGAACAGGAAGGTACTGAACTAAGTGCACATTCCAAACACTGACTTAGAAAGAGAAGTGTGGAGGTCTTTGCAAAGAACAGGGGAAGTACAAGAAAACTGACAAAAAGTGAAACTGCAATCTGACATGTCTATGGAATACCAGCCCTTCTCAGATAAAGCAAAATTTTATAGTTTTGTTTCCATTTGATTTGTTTTCCCCCAACCAGGACAGTTTCTCCCTAGAATTCTTGCCTTCATGGTCCTCCAGAGGACGGGTGTCCTGGATAAGTCCCCTTTTCATGGACTGCAGGTCCTCTTCCTGCCCGCATTGAGAGATCAGACAGGGAGTCCATAGAGAGTACCCTGTACAACAGCAAATGAGTATCACAAGAGAAACAATGAGGAACCACAAACATTTCCACTAAGTCACCAGGTTGAAATACTGCTCTTCTCTGGGAGAGAATGAAGGAAGGGGTGACAATGTCCAAAAAGAAATGTACTCATTACCTGACTTAGGAAATGGTAGCCTCTCTGTACAATATCTTTATAATAACAATTTTAAAATGAAAAAAAACACTGATCCTCTGAATCTCTAAAATGAACAAGTATAAGTTTAACTGAAACAAAATGAGGGAGAGAAGGAGAAAAGAGAAGAGAAAGAAGGGAAGGAAGGAACAACTAAAGGTAGGAAGGAAAAGAGAAGGAGGGATGAAGGGATGGAGAGAGGGAAGGAAGAATGGAGGAATGGAACAATGAACTGAATCTTGGTGCCATTCCAGGAAATCCCAGAACCAGGACATCAATAGGAAGGAAAGGAGGAGTGAGATCATGGTGAGGGAGTGTAGACGTTCTAAGAGCACTGTGCACTATATATATCACAATGACACCTCCTTATATTAAAAATTTATGGTAATTCAAAAAAGAAGAAGCCAGGCACTGGTGGCTCTCACCTGTAATCCCAGCTACTCAGGAGGCTGAGATCTGAAGATTTTGGTTCAAAGCCAGCCTAGGCAATAAAGTCTGACAGACTCTTATCTCCAATTGACCAGCAAAAATCCAGAAGTGGACCCAAAAACAAAAACAAAAATTCCAGAAAGGAGAGCTGTGACTCTAAGCAAAAAAAATTCAGAGCCAGTATCCAGGCCCTGAATTCAAACCCCAAAACAGACAAAATAAACAAATAAATAAATACTAGGAAAACTAGATATCCATTGAAAACTGACCTCTTTTCTCATCCTGTGTAAAAATCAATTCAAAATGATGAAAGATCTTACTGTTAGACCTCACACTGAAACTTCTACTAATGGAAATCACAAAAGAAATGGTTCACTATACTGGCACAGGCAATGATTTCCTAAAGAGGACTTTAGGAGAAATAGAGCAAGAATTGAGAAACAGACCAGGTGTGGTGGTTCCATTCATGCCTGTAATCTCAGCTACTTGAAAGGCTGAGATTGTTAGCAATATAGATCAAGGCCAGCCACACCACAATAAGTAAATTGGGTGTGATGACACATGCCTGTAATCCCAGCTACACAGTAGGCACAGGTAGGAGAATGACCCAAGGCTAACCCAGGCAAAAGCATAGGACCCCATCCGAAAAATGACTAAGGTAAAAAGGACATTAAGAATGAATCAAGGGCTGGGAAGGTGGCTCAGTGGTAGAGCGCTTGCCTTGCATGCATGAGGCCCTGGGTTCGATTCCTCAGCACCACATAAGAAAAAAAGCCGGAAGTGGCGCTGTGGCTCAAGTGGTAGAGCGCTAGCCTTGAGCTGAAGAGCTGAGGGACAGCGCCCAGGCCCAGAGTTCAGGCCCCATGACCGGACCCAAAAAAATAAAAAGAAAAAAAAAAAAAAAGAAAGAAATGTCACTCTGTAGAGCTTGCATCCGTATTCCCAGAATAAACTTGCTTAAAATAAACTATTATTTCCTTTAAAAAAAAAAAAAAAAGAATGAATCAAGTGGTAGAGTGCCTGCCTAGCAAACATGAGGCCCTGAGTTCAAACTCTAGCTCTGGAAGAAAATTAAAAAAGAACTGACAAGTACAGTTACATCAAATTTAAAAGGAAGTAACAGAGTAAAGAGACAACTTACAGAATGGGAGAAAATCTCTGAGGCATTATCCACAAACGAAAGATTTTCTTTTTTTTTTTTTTTTTTGCCAGTCTTGGGGCTTGAACTCAGGGCCTGGGCACCGTTCCTGAGCTGCTTTTGCTCAGGCTAATACCATGTTTTTATGCTCCAAGTCCCTATAGGGGATGGGATGCCCTTCCATGCTGCACTGTGAGATACACCCAACTTATTTAACTGGAGGTATGTTCCTGGTGGTCTAGAGGAGAGGGCACTTACAGCAGCAAAACCCTCAAACTACCTTTCTGTGCCCCACAGTATTCCCTGAATACCCACACTTAATATATCCCTGGAGGTTCTCAACACTAAAAAGAACAAAGTTCGGGCTGGGAAGGTGGCTCAGTGGTAAAGCGCTTGCCTTGCATAAGGCCCTGGGTTCGATTCCTCAGCACCACATAAGCAGAAAAAAAAAGCCGGAAGTGGAGCTGTGGCTCAAGTGGTAGAGCGCTAGCCTTGAGCTGAAGAGCTGAGGGACAGTGCCCAGGCCCAAAGTTCAGGCCCCATGACTGGACCAAAAAAAAAAAGAACAAGTTCAAGGCATAAATGTTCATTATCACGAAGCCTCTACAGATAGAACCAATCTGTGTGGGCTCAATGACCAGAACATTCCCATTATGATTTAGATATACTGTTGTCTGCCAGGAAGACCAATGTGTGGAAGGCTTTGTTCTCACCCAGTGCATTGATGTTCAGGATTGGGGCTTTAGGGAAGTGACTAATCAAGACACTCTGACCTCACTAATCTACTGATGGAGTCCTAATACAGTTTAGGAGGAACAGCCTATAAGGGAGGAGGGCAGTCAGTGGGCATGGCCTCCAAGGCAACATCAACATCCTATCCCTGGTCCCTTTCTCTCTCTGGTCCTAGCTTTCCATGAGATCTGCACTATGCTCTCCACCAGGATCTTCTGCCTTACCACTGGTCCAAAACCAAGTGAACCAAGCCACCACCGGCTGAAAGCATTGGAACTGGGAGCCAAAACAAATCTTTCCTCCTTTAAGTTGGTTGTCTCGGGTATTTTTGGGGGGAGGGGATCCGGTCATGGGCCTGGGTGCTGTCCCTCAGCTCTACCACTTGAGCCACAGCGCCACTTCCGGCTTTTTTCTTTTTGCTTATGTGGTGCTGAGGAATCGAACCCAGGGCCTCATGCATGCAAGGCAAGTGCTCTACCACTGAGCCACCTTCCCAGCCCTTTGTCTTGGGTATTTTGGAACACTCTCACACCTTAGCCCAAATTCAAGATCTGGATTGGTGGTAAGGTAAAATTGTAAACCACTACATAGAAGAAAGCTGCCATTCTTACCTAGGACAGCCAGGTTCCAGAAGGTTTCCAGCATCACAGCTTGATAGAGTTTCCTCTGAGCAAGATCTAGCAGAACCCACTCCTCCTGGGTAAACTCCACAGCCACATCCTCAAAGGTCACTGAGTCCTAAAAGACCCCACACATTCTGCTCAGAAAGTCACAATCTTCCAGGTGGGCAAGAGGATGGAGAAGGCCAGCAGCAAGGGTGACTGAGAAGCAATTCAAAAATGCCATGGCCTGCCATATCTCCACTCTGACTCAGCCAGATGATCTCGTTCCCTTTCTACCCTCCTCATAACCCCACACACACAATAAAATATTTGTTTATATACTCGTTATGGGTGCTTTACTAGAATGACAGTTTCCTTGCAACAAAACTCTTAAGACCTACAAAGCCTAAAATATTTGCTGTGTGATCCAATGCAGATTGCTAAAACGTGCAATTCACCAACTGGAAAGAGGGAGAAATCTTTAGGAAAATTATTGCCTTCTACTCACCTTTATCATAATTCTCTTTAATTCAGCAGTCATTCTTTATTCCTCTCTGTACCTTCAGGGAAAGAAGCAAGATATTGATATGTCACAGGTAATGTAGATGCTGACCTGAGAATCCAGAGCTGCTCTCAATTTCCACATTCGGAACTCCAGATGTGTGTTATGACTGACAACTCCCCTCACTGGTCTTATAGAAGCAGCAAACTTGTCTCCTCCTAGCGCTAGAAAAATAAGGGTCCGCTCCTTACTTGGCCACACAGAAGCAGCTGAGCAACACTGTGTAAGTCAATTAACACATGGCCCATCATAATTTGTCATGGTAACAAAAAGGTTTCAAATGTACCAAGCAGTGGCTACAAGCACAAATATGCTGTTTCTGATCCAGAAAAGTGCTGATTTATTCATATCCTAAGCTTCTCAGGCTTCACTTCAAACAGCTGCTACTTCTGCACCGCCCCTCCCCCCCCCCCCCCCCCGCCCCCAGCCGCGGGAAGCTCTCCAGGAGGGAGAAGAGGGGAAGGGGAAGGAAGAGGAGGGAGGGGAGGGCAGGGGAGGAGGACCCAGCTCACCTGAAACGTGGTGGGGACAGGAGAGCTGGCCCCGTCCCCCGAAGGCCCGGGAGGGCCGCGGTGGCTGTAGGCACAGAGCAGAGGACCCGTGTGAGGACTGGGGAAATTCTTCCCGCCGGCGTGCGAGTCACCGCGGCGGCTGGACGCAGTCAGGCGACACCGCGGCTGCGCCCGGGCCCTCGGTTTCCGGCAGCCCCAGCCCTGGATGCCGGGGCGCGCCGGGTCGATTGTTGACTGAGGGCACAAGTTTACCCCACAACCCGGCGGGAGGCGTGAGGGGACGTGGCGACCTCGGACGCAGGGGGACGGGGCGGCAGCGGTTGCGTCGCGCAGGCGCGTTCACGCGCCGCGGCTTCCCGGTTTTGTACCGCCCTCGCGTGGGCGTGGTTTCTAGGGGGCGTGGCCTTGGCTGGGCGGGGCAACGGCGGGGCAGATGGAAGTCTGGCTCGGACCAACAGTCCGAAATGGTACTTTGGGCCGAAGTTGAGATGGCGCATAGAAGAACCACACGAACGGGTCACGCCGTGGCAGGACCAGGTGAATGGTGGAGCTTCTTGTTCGGCCTCTGGAGTGAGGTTGAGCGAGGTATGGCTCTAGAGACGTGGATTTTCAATGTTCCCCTTGAGGAAGGGGCGGAGATTGGTTGACCGTCATTGGGGGTGGGGCTGGAATCGAGGGGCGGGGCTTATGTGAGATAATAGATGGGGTTAAGATTCTCAATTGGCATTCTCACTGCACAGAGCGCTGTCCTTAGAACACTCTTACAACTCTAAACCCAACCCATCTGAAGATACACCATCCATTCAGTCCTTCAGACTTTGATGGCTGCGATAGGAATGTTATTCATAACTAAGTCCTTTACCTGGAAACGGAAACTAATAGCTGTCAGTTCATTACTTTGAACTTCAAGGTTTTCTGTGACTTTTTTCCTTGTTCTAATATTCATAGCTGATTTTTCTCACTTTGTCCAGCACTTCCTCAATGATAAGTCAGAAACAAACTATGAGAACAGAAGAAGAGCCTGCCTAGGCAATCAGGGCAAAGGCCCCCTTCCCATAAAGGTTCTGCACCCCTCACCTGCCTTGCGCAATCATGGGCTCTTAGTCATCGTCTCTAGAAGACCTAACCCATGAACAATGGACGGACTGGACTCCAGAGGTGCATGCTGGAAAGGGTACACAGTTAGAGGCCAAAAAAAAAAATCCTATTTGAAAAATGAAGCAAAAAAAGTGGAACTGGAGGCGTGGCTCAACTAGTAGAGCGCCTGCCTGGCAAGTTCAAGGCCATAAGGGACAGTGTCCAAGGGATTCTATAATGAGCAAAACGTGAGGCTTTCGCTTTTCCCTCCTTGCTTCTATAGATTCCTCTAGACATCTGGGGAACTTTACTCTGGGGGGGGGGGGGGGGAGGGGGAAGGAGTATGGACTCAGACATGGGTTCAGCTCTCACAGATGCCAGCAGTGAGACTTTGACCAAGTTACACACTTACTGTCCCACTATTTCCCCTTTCAAGCTTAAAAGAAAAAGCACTCCAAACCTCTTAAGCCCCCTCACCTCATGAAGGTATCCACCCAGCCCTGCCCTGGGCTCAAGGGACAGGCCCTCTGTGCCACACCCTCAAAGACGTCACAAAGAGGCCCCGCCCCACGCAACTCAGAATCTGAAATGTGCACCAACCACCCCATGAGCACCCACCACCCCTCTGCCCTCCTGGGCTGCAGCTGCTGCTAGCTGCCTTTCTGGCTCCCTCGAAGTTTTGCGGGGTTTGGCCCAGGAGAGCCCAACTAGGTCCGGCCAACAGAAGACACAGATGGCAGGATGAGGCCTGAATCCCATGCCCCACTTCAATCCGGGTGGCAGGTTTGGGGTGTCCGTGTCCCAGAGGTGAGTGTGGAAGGACAGTCGGAGTGCACAGGCAGGGTCTTTTCTGCATCCTCAATCACTTTCAAATGACGCCCCAAAATCTAGCTCTGTGTGTGTGTGTTTTGGTACTGGGACTTGAATTGAGAACCTAAGCACTGTCCCTTAGCTTTTCTGCTCAAAGCTGGTACTCTACCACTTGAGCCACAGCTCTGCTTCTGGCTTTTGGGCAGTCAATTGGAGAGAACAGTCTCACAGAATTTCTCACCTGGGCTGACTCTGAACTGGGATCCTCACATCTCAGCCTCCTGAGTAGCTAACATCTGGCTCAATTACACTTAAACACATTCTTCTGATTAAGCTGAACCATTTTATGAAATTGTTTGAAAAGTGACCTTGTGCCCTTCCAGCACCACCCTGCTCTGGTTAACACTGTATAAACCATGTTAGTAGAATCATAGTACAAACACATTTTGAGTATTGTACAATTTGGTGGATTTGTATAAAAAATCAAATTGAGTCAAATCTAGTCAATAGCTACCTCTTGCCTTACAGACTGGATGTTATTACCTATACTAACATTTATAGTATAATGCAAGCATTTAGTGTCCAACTACACTGAAGTTTAAGCATTAGTCTTCATAAATGAGTCTAATCCCAAAGATTTTGAATCTTTCATAATTTCAACATCTCAAATGACCTAAAAAGTCTTGGGGCCTAATGTCATTTGTGGCAAATACTTCTAGTATTTTCCTAAGGAATTTGACAAGTGTTATTGGGGTGAGCTAAAGCTCCTGAATGCATAGGAACAGCCCAGTACCCTACACACACTTTTCATTTGGTGAACTCTGGGCCTTGGGCTTATCAGGCAGGAGCTCTATCACTTCAGCCATCTTCCCAGCCCCTTTTGCATTTCTTTTTTAATATGGTCTTGCATTTATAAAAGAAGATCACAGTCAGGCCTGCCTAGGATAACAGTCATGCAACACTGTACCCCACTTTTTACTGATTGTGAAGAGGGTAGGCCTCAAACTATGAACCTCAATCTCAGCCACCTGAGTATTGTTTTGTTGTTTTGCCAGTCCCAGGTCTTGAACACAGAGCCTTGGGCACTGTCTCTGAGTTTTTGTGCTCAAGGTTAGTACTCTACCAACTGAGCCACAGCTCCACTTCTGGCTTTTTGTGGTTAAATGAGGATAACAGTGTCACAGACGTTCCTGCCCAGGCTGGCTTCAAACCTAAATCCTCAGATCTCAGCCTCCTGGGTAGCTAGGATTACAGGGGTGAGCCACTGGCACCTGGCTCGTGGGAGAGGGCGCAGTGGAAAGGCTTCTCTCCGGTGTGCGTCCTCAGGTGCTCGCTGAGGCGGGAGGACCTGGTCCTGGAGACAGGAGGCGTTCTGGAAGCACTTCCCACACACCGGACATGGGGGGGGGGGGGGGCGGGGGGCGGCCGCCTCCCAGCGGCGGCCGCTGCAGCAGCTCCGCGCATGCGCGGCCGCCCTCCCGGCATCCCTCCGGTCTCTCTCCAGCGTGGGTCCCGGCGTGCTGACGCAGGCACGCGGACACGGTCCGCACTCCCGGACACGTGAAGGGTTTCTCGCCCGCGTGCGTTTTCCGATGCTGGGTCAGCTGACAGGACCTGGGGAAGGCTTGCCCGCAGTTGGCGCATGCGTGGCGGCTGCCGTGGGGATGGGCAGGTAGGCCGGGGACCTAAAGCCCTTGCCACATTCCTTGCAGGTGGCTCTGCGCGGCCAGGCGGGGAGGGGGGGGGGGGGGACACGGGGGGCGCGTTGGGGGGGGGGGTGGAGCAGAGGAAATGGAAATGTCCCTTGGACTCTGTGCTCCCGGGGGCGACCTGGGGCCTCTGTGCACACAGAAAGATCAAACCGTCTCAAGGAAGTCCCCTCCACTGCTGATAGTCAGGGAGAAGAGTTCCCTCAAAAACACATATAGATCATAACATACTATAATTATATATTATTATATACATGTATGTTACATAATTCTTCATATATTTGTATTATTTCAAGCCAGGCGCTGGTGGCTCACACTTGTACTCGGGAAACTGAGATCTGAGGATCACGGTTCAAAGCCAGTCCTGGCAACAAAGTCCCTGAGACTCTGTCTGAACTCCAATCAACTACGCAGAAAAAGTCAGAAGTGGCGCTGTGGCTCAAATGATAGACCGCTAGCCTTGAGCACAAAGAGGCTCAAGAACAGCACCCAGGCCCCAGGGCCAGCAAAATTCATTTTTTAAAAGATTTTTTTTCAAAACCCATTAATAGATTCCTTGCATCTGAAGACAAATGTAATAATTCTCTCCAATTTTTTTGCTATTTTATACATACAGTTCCTGTTGTTTCTTTATTGTATTTTAGAGATGGGTCTCACTGTGTTGCCCAAGCTGGCCTCAGATTCTTCAGCTCAAGCAGTCTGCCAGCCTTTGCTACCTTCCCAAGCAGCTGGGACTACAGGCATGAGTCACAACATGAGGTTTGTAGACTTCCTTAAAGTGAAATGAAGTGATCTTTCCACCAGAATATTCTGCTGTGCACCCTAATCATCAACAGATTATACAGATCTTTTCCTGGCATAAACTGGTTGTACAAGGGGTTTCATTGTAACACTTCCACCAGCGTATATTATGCATCCCAATCTACCTCAACCCACCACTCTCTTACCAATTCCTTCTTCTTAAAACAATGGCAACAGGTTTCACTGTTCTTTTTTCATACATGTAGACAAACAATGTTAACCCTCCTCACCCTCATCCATCTTTGCCCCACCTTCCACTGGAACCTTCCCACCAACATAGGCTGTTTGTGTCCTATAATTTGCTCGGAATGACTGTATCTGTTATTTTCTCTTTCCCTGTACCATTTCTCTAATTTGATGAAGACCTTTTTCACACTCTCTAGATCTGGGAATGTGTAGTTGTGAAAACTTGGGAAGAACAGGTTTCAAGCTACATTTGAGGCATCTCCAACATCACCATACCCCTAGTTTCCCTCTGGGGCCATTGCTCCCTCTCAAGTTCATGCAACTTCCCTCAGATCTGTCTGGCTCTCCTTATTTACTATCACAGAATTAATCTTCTCAGAATGTGAAAAATAAGAAAATATCCCTTTTCTTAATCTTACTGTGTGGATCTCACTGGAGGTTCCCCTCAAAGAATCCTGCAGAAGTGCTGAGCCTTTGGTTTCAGTCCCACTTCCCATTCTGCAATCAAAAAGATAAAGAAATGTAAGGATTTAGAGACAGAAATGGCAAAGGAAATGAGGTGAAAAAGACAAGGAT